GATCTCTGAAATTTAATTCTAGCAGGTATTGTGGACTATATTTTACTAATTCATATTATATTGTTCACATTTTGAATATCATTTTATTGATAATTGCATTATTTTCTAAGTTTTAAAATACTTTTATACACTATTTTTTAACTTTTTATTTTTTAAAAAAGAAACAACACAAGTGACCTTCTCCCTGCTTCCAGTCATTCCGGCCCCACATTTACACAATGGTTTCATCTCTGCCACTGAAGGTTCGTTTTTAAAGTTTTGAGCTTCATATACATGGACTCAAGCATTATAGACCCCTTTTCTGGTAAGGGGCTACTTTTGTTATTTTTGACATTTATTTATGCTATTTCATGTGTAAAATTACATCCACATATTGTCATTTATTCACTTAATGGAATGCCTTTGATATAAAATCTCAACGTTTTAACATATATGGAGAGAGAGTGAGAGTGAGAGTGAGAGTGAGACAGAGAAATGTTATACCTGAGTCAGTCCATTAAGCAATAAATGACAATAAGCTGATCCATTTTCCTGTCGATGGATTTTAATTTATTATAAATATTTTTTGTATATATATATATATCTTTTCCCTTTTTATTCAGAAAATACGTGGAGTATGTATTTCTTCATCACAAAACTAAGTTTAATTTGTTCATCTTTATGGAACTATAATTGATAATAAAAATTGTATATATTTAAGGTTCACCACTTGCTGTTGTGTTATAAATTGTTATATTTTCACTATGACCTAGGAATTAAAATATCTATTACCTCACAGTTACCATTTTATTCCTTTTCATTTATTATGTTTGTGTCCAGTGAGAACATCTGATATCTATCCTTTACCAGAGATCAGGTTTGCAATACAGTCCATTGCTTTACATTACACCTCCAGAACCCATTCAGCCTGCACAACTGAAACTTGGTGCCCTGGACAAGCATCACTCCATTTCCCCTCCTCCCAGCCCTGAGAACCACTTTACTACTCTCCACTTCTAAGAAGTTGAATATTTTAGTTTCCACATAACAATGAAATAATGCAGCATTTGTCTTTCTGTGTCTGACTTATTCCATTTAGAATAATGTTCTCCAGCCCCATCCATGTTTTTGGAAACATTATAATTTCCTTTTTGTTAAAGGTCAAATCATATTCCATCGTATGTTTATACATTTCCGTTATACACCCATTTAACTATGGCAATTAACTTTAAAAAATTCTAGGCCATTGTGAATAATCTTGTTATAGACCTGTGTTTTCAACTTACTGATTTTATTTCCTTTGAATATATAGCCAGATGTGGGATCACCAGATTACATAATAGTTTCACTTTCAATTTCTAAAATAACCTTTACTACCACACCATTGAATAATTCCCTTTTCAGCAGCTTACTGTCAGCATCTCATTGTCTTTTTTCTGTGTGATAATATTCATGTTAGGCAACATGAGATGATATCTCACTGTGGTTTTGATTGTAATTCTTCTGAAGAAAAGGAATGTTGATCACCTTTCTACGTCCTGCTGACTGTGTATGTCTTCCCAAGAATACAATGTCTATGCACAAGTTTTACCCTCTTAAAAATCAGTTTATTTGTATTTTTTGCTATTGTATGGGTCCTTTATACATTTAGATAGAACCCCTTTCAGATATACAATTTCACATAATTTATTTTTCTGTGATTTTGGTGTCAAATCCATATAAATCATTTTCCAGATTAATTCCAGGATGCTTCTTTTTTTCTCTCTGAGTTTACAGTTCTACATATCATATTATTTTCAATCCTTGAGTTCATTTTAGGTGACTTTTGTATATGATGTGAGATAACATCTCATTTTCTTTCTGCATATGGATGCCGAGTTTTTACACCATTTGTCAAAAAGACTATCCTTTCCTCATTGTGTGTTCTTGGAACACAAAATCTGGCAGAGACACGCAAAAGAGGAAAATGTTAGACCAATATTCTTGATGATAGACCTAAAAATCCTCAAGAACATACTGGCATATTGAATATACTAGCACATTAGAAAGTTAATACCTTATGATCATGTAGCTTTTACACCTTTCATGCAAGGTTAGCTCAACATACATAAATCAATAAAGGTGATTCATCACATAAGCAGAATAGAAACCACTCTGCTTTCCACACTACTCATAACATCCCAGGCAGAATTCCAGGTTCCACTGAGGCATGGCATCCAGAGGGCAGAGCTCAGGGGATGATCTTAGGGCACCTGCCTCCTGGGGCAAGGTGCTTCCTTTTCTCAATTGTGCACTTCCTCCTTCTGCAAGCTATGGAGTGAGCACTTGTATTGCCATGATTTATATATGTTCTCTCCACTAATATGGCAAAAAATATTTATTGAATTTTTAATTTCATTTTCTCTGAAAAACACTGCATTGGCAGAAAGAAATAAACTGTATTTCTTATCTTCCCACACAACCAAAGATTCCTGACGACAGAGCTGATGTGGTGTTCTCATAGGTGGATCTCTGCTCCTCAGAGGTGGCCTTGGTCTTCAAGTTTCAGCAACTCTGGGAAACCAAGGACAGCTCCATCCTTTACTCCCTGCTCTGCAACTCACCTGAGAATGGCTTTCTCATTGGAATGTCTCATGTTTAAAAAATAAGAGTCCTTATTTCATGTTTGGGTGTCCAGATGCACCTACTGTATCTAGCCCAGGACTGGAGACACTTTGCAGAACACAACATCACATGAGACATGACCAGTCACATTGTTTTACTTCAACAATTTCAGCATCCTCAGAAGAAAATTAAAATTGTTGAGACTTTTTCATAAACATGGTGCCATATCCTTTCTCCATTTTCTTGCCTGTTCATTTATGTCAGAATAGGTGTCAGTTATATGTAATAAGATTAGAATTCTACGATCTTTGATTGTATTTTTGGTTTATGTTCCAAGATGTAGATTATAACATTTACCACGCTCATTTTTATGTCAAAAGAATTCTGCATAATCTGAATCTCAATATTTTTGGAATCTATTAAGTAACTGAAATTGTAAAAAAAAAATACCACTCAAAAACCAGGAAAGATGGACATGTCCAGAATGGCAACTGACACTTGCTTAACTGGAACAGAAGCTGCAGAAGCCACAAGCTGTTGAGGTCACCTATATGGTAAGCACTATAGACATCTGAAGACAGATGTGGACTTGGTAAATATGACAGTTCCAGAGGGTCTTGTCCTTCTATGTTTTCTGAACTTTCTATCCAGAAACCTCTAGATTCTAAAAAATACAATCCAAATACATTTTCTATGTGTCAGATTGGGGATGATTAATTACTGAGAAACATACCAGGAGCCTTCTTCAAAAGCTTCTACAAGGAAAGACTTTTCCAGAACCTTATCCTATATGAAGGAAAACAAATGTCTCATTCTTAATTTCTCTCTCATTCTTTCATTATTATACAAATGCGTAAAGATAACCAATAGGGTAAGATGAAAATAAATAGTCCAGGAACACTGCAATCACAACAGGCAGAGGTGGCCAAAAATGAGCTATTCCCCTGGAGATGCCTGGTCAAGGTCACAGCCCAGAAGAGGAAGCCGATCGAGTCTCTAGGTTTCCAATGTCAGAACAGGCTGTGCTAACCCTCACTGCACAATCCATACTAACCGGGATGATGGCTCTGGATCAAAGATGAAAGTGTGGAAATGCACAGACTCTATCTGAGGACGACACAGGGAAACTAAAAGACAATGGCAGAGAGTAAGAAGAGGACAGTAGGGCAACATGAAACCTCTGACATCACCATTTTTAAGATCAAGCTCTTGAAAACTCCCTCATTGACCTCTACTTCTTTTATCATGGGTCCTTTGCTGAGTTCCTAGCTGAGAAAGTGAAAATAACAACCTGTATGCTCTTCCCAAGTCTCCACTTGCTTCCTGTTTGCTTTAGATCTCTAAGGGAAAAAAATTCAGACACCTGAGCCTAGTGTCAGGGTAGGAGGCACTTTCTACAGGCTAGGTACAAGGAAGAAGTGAAAATGTGTGTTATTAGAATAGTGGATATGGAGTGAGATTTCATCTGAAGGTAGCTGCACCCACTGGTATTCTCAGATGCAACATTCACATGCAAGAGCCCAATGAAGAAACAAGGCACTCCCAAATCTTCTGTAAGTTTTTTTTATTGTGGGTCTAATAATTAGTGCATCTGGAGCTTCCAAGAAGGAGTTCCGTCCTGTGTCATAGAATCCTAGATTTGGTCTCTCTGCAGAGTCCAGTAGGTTTAGTAAGGCTAATCAATTATTGTAAGAGATGGTGTCAGCAGCACATGGTGTCACTGAAGGGGAATTCTAAACCAGGTCACAGCCACTTCATGCTGGACTACAGAAGCTGGCGTAAAATGCTTTGTGAGCCCCAACAGGAACCTTCTTGCAAGGCAAAGTCTGGGCTGGAGGGGGCGCTCAGGAGCCACGCAGCACAGGTTTCAGCCCAGGAGCAGGTGCACAGGATGCTGCTGAGAAGGTTTCATCTCAGGGGATGATGGGTCTTCCTTTGTTGGAAAAAAAGCTAAAATAAGAGTTCAACAAGTTGCTGATGTGCCCTGAAATATTATATCACATCTGAACCATGCACAGGGTTTAAGGCAATGAGAAATACTTTTATAGTGGGCTTCTAGCATTAACAATATCTTAACAGCGAGAATATGAAGAATAGGGATGGTTTTACTAATTCAATTAATACAGGATTGTGGGAGTCACTATATTTCTATGAATAATAAATTCAGAATTCTGTGTTAAGTAATGTTTCCTGCATTGTGTGAGTGACAGGTGGATCTGAGAGTGTGGCAGGTGCACAGACCTAGTGAGTCAGAAATCAATATGAAAAGATGAGGATCTATGGATATGAACTAAAAGTATGTAATCATTTCATGAAATTCTATTAAATGGAGTAGGAAGCAAAGCCCAAAGTTATTCAATACACAAATTACTTGGAAATTATTTTTGGAGCAGTGAGTTATTAAAGTTTCAACTTCTAATTCCTAGTGTCCGTGATATGAGAAAATCATCTCCAATTATGCATCACAGGGCAAATCAGTAACCAAGAGTCTTTCCATTGGAGTCCCTGGGGGATCAGGCACCAGGCAGGTGCTAGAGACTCTGTTTCAGGAGCGCCCAGTGGATCTCACAGGAACCTGCTGGACACTCACATGGAAGCTCAGCAGTCACTTTCTGAGAGTCACCAGTGAGCTGTGTTGGTGCCTGACAGATTCAGGATAGGGCCAAGGCACCTACTTAGTGTCATGAAGATTGATGGTCCCAAAAATGATCCAGGTGTTTTCTACATGAATCAAACGTAGGTTCACAGCGAGGAGCCTGTTCTGAGGGGGATTATTCTTCAGTGAAAGGACCTCTGTCCAGAGATATTTCTAAATGGACCAGGGCCTGCATTTCTCAAGCAGGACTAGGGCTTGGACCATCAGCATCCCACTCTAGTAAGGCTAATGTGTCATTTATTTTCTCTTTCTTATCATGGATCATGCTTCAAGCTATGAAATGCTCTGTTTCATAAATATGTAAACAACCCGAGATCCACTGAGGTAAATATGTTCTGTGCACTGAGAGCATCACCCAACAACCACATCCCTCCTATAGAGAATCCCCTGAGAGCCCAGCTCCTCACCATGGACTGGGCCTGGAAGATCCTCTTCTTGGTGGCAGCAGGTACAGGTAAGAGGTTCCCAAGTCCCAGTGATGGGATGGGAATTGAACTCAGTGAAGGGGGCTTTTATTCACTCCTGTGTCTTCCCCACAGGTGCCCACTCCCAGACGCAGCTGGTGCAGTCAGGGGCTGAGGTGAAGTTTCCTGGGGCCTCAGTGAAGGTCTCCTGCAAGGCTTCCAGATACACCTTCACCTACCGCTACATGCACTGAGTGCAACAGGCCCCTGGACAAGGGCTTGGGTGGATGGGATGGATCACACCTTACAATGGTAACACCAACTATGCACATAAGTTTGAAGGCAGAATCACCATTACCAGAGACAGGTCCATGAGCACAATCTATATGGAGCTGAGGAGCCTAAGATCTGAGGACACAGCTGTATATTACTGTGCAAGATACACTGTGTGAAAACCCACATTCTGTGAGTGTCAGAAAACCCAGGGAGAAGCTGAGGAGCCTGAGATCTGAGGACACGGCTGTATATTACTGTGCAAGATACACAGTGTGAAAACCCATATTCTGAGAGTGTCAGAAAACCCAGGGAGGAGGCAGCTGCGCTGAATTTGAGGAGATTACAGACCTTACAATGTTTAAAGTTGTTTAGAAAATGGGCTAAACAATTGGGAAATGTGTATGCACTCTATATAGGAACTATTTCTTTCAACGGAGACCCCATATGCAAAATACACAGAGCGGTAAGGGCAGCAATCAATCAGGCTGATGCAAAGATTCCCATGGAGGCTTTGTGCAGACCTAAGTTTTAAAATCAAATAGATAAATAATTTGGAGCAAGATTGCTGGTAACATGGCTAAGACTAAATATGATTTCTAAAAACTGCCCCAAATGTATTCCAAAATATCTGTCACTCCTTTTACATAAAAATGTATTAAAAAGTAGTTTTAAGACCACAACAAAACAGAACAGAAGGTGTAGAGAGTTACTCTGTGCCCCCGCTTCACATATGCACAGCCTTGCCCACTATCATCATCCTTCCCAAGCGTCATAAATATGTTACAATGAATGAACTTATATGAACAGATTGGTTCTTTTTTTTTTTGGTGATCCCTTGGCATACCAAGCCTAAATTATCTTAAAGCATCACAGGTTCTTCAAGTGTGTGCCTGGTGATGCCAGTTAATAGGAAAAGTGAGTGGGGGTATTCCTATTTGGACTCTTTTTAGAGGATTCATAAAATATATATTCTCAGACAGGTTCTGTGACTCCTGATTTCCTATGTCCCTTCTCAGAGGATAAGGTCTCTAAGTGTTTAGAGGTAGATCCATGTCTATGGAAAGAATGCAACTTCTGGTAAATCCCATCAGGAATGTCCTTCCATGAGAAGTGGAGACCTTGGCCATGAGACACATCATGTATGATTCTCTATAGTTCCATTAGATTCACTGTAAGCTTTGTGGGTGTTTCTGTACGAGGCCCTTTGTACAGAAAATGAAAACACATGCACGACATCCAGGCAGAGGCAAAAGCTTCCATCTACAAAGTAGGAGAGACATAGAAGAAAGTCTCTCGTGGGTGGGCACTGGTTCGCCTTGCTGGCTGCACACTAGCCAGAGGCATGAGCCTGATAGGTCTTGGAGAGTGAGAGCCCCACTGGGGTCACTGGCTTTAGAAATTCCTGCTTGACGTTGTCAACCCAATGGCAAGTAGACGCTAGAAGAGGACAAGGTGCACACAAAACTTCTATTAATGATCAATTACTACACACTCAAAAACTGTAATCCAGAAAGTGGCAGGTGTCCGCAGGGACAAACAGAACTTAAGTATTTAAAAATATAGGGAAGACACTGCCAAATGCCATATGTTTCAGGAAGGTTAACTCGGAAATGTTGACCAAGTGACTGAAGGGCAGTGGTGCATGAGGTGATGTGACAGCCTCAGGGGCTGCACATGAGGAGGGCCACTTTCCCATGCAGGCTTTTCTTCCAGGAACTGCACCAGGAACTCAAAGAGGATTGGGGAGAATTCTGAAAACATCCTGGGGTGCTGCCTGGAGAGCAAAAATTATGAAATAAAAATTAATAAAATATTACATATGTTAATAGAAACTATTTCTGAAACCTGTGGAGGTCGTGACATAAGCCATCATTAGCTGTGAACAAACATTTTAATCCTCTTTTCATGGGAGCTCAGTTAGGTTGCATCGGTTCTTTTATGGACAATATCCTCCAACTGCTCTCTATTTCCTACACATTCCCTGCTCTCTCTTTGGGACAAGTTCTCATCAGTGAAATGTGGTTGATGTACTGAGGTCTTCACTTTTCCCATTGTATTAGTCAAGATTATCTAGAAGGACAGAACTGTAGGACAGAGGTCTGTATTGGAAGGGGAGTTTATTAAGGAGTATTGAGTCAAATGATCACAAGGTGAAGTCCCACAATAGGACATCTGCAACTAAGAAGCAAGGAGTCCCAGTCCAGGTCCCAAAACCTCAAAAGTTGAGAAACCAACAGTGCAGCCTTCAGTACTGCTATTGTCAGAGAACACACAGGAGTTAATTCCTATTTCTACCTCTCCCAACCAAAAAAATGTGTAAGAAACTAGACATGGTAGGTTTGAAACAGGGTTTGCCAAGTGTTAAATTGTGTCACCAAATGATATGTCAAAGTCCTTACTAGAATCACCTTAGAATAATTTCTTACTTGGAAATATGGTACCTGGAGATGTTATTAGTGAAGATGAGGTCATAGTCATGCACTGTGGGCCCTCAATCTGGGAATACTGGTGTCTTTATAAGAACAAGAATATTTGGACACAAACACAGAGACACACAGTGTGCCATATGACAGCCAAGGCAAAGATTAGAGTGGTGCAGCAGCCAGCCATGGCATGTCAGGGATTACCAATCACCCCCTCACCCTTTCCACAAGTGAGGAAAGGGCAAGCAAGCATTCTCCTGAGTTTCAGAGGGAGTGCAGCAGAGCTTACACCAGATTTTGAACTTCCAGTCTCTAACTGTAAGATAATACATGTCTGTCCTTTTAAGCCACTTAGTTCATAGTATTTGATTTTGGCAGCCCTAGGAAACTGATACAGAGTTCTTCACCCAAAAGGATGAAGTCTGTCTGACAAACAGCCAAGGTCGTGGATGACAGACAGCCTGAAGATTGCAAACCTCCAAGAAACCAAAGAAGGTTATATAAACTATGGGCAGCCCCATCTTCTAAAGGCTGCTTCTTTTGTCCACACCCACACTTTGGAAGGAGAATCTTGCTCTTGGACATGGGATTCTTGGGTAGACAAGCTGCCAAGAATCCAACATTGTCATGAATTAAAGGTCTCTGACATTTTCATCATCATCAAGGGATATTCTGTCAAGTAGTAAGTCAAACATTTCATCAGTGATCTCCACACCAATGAGTTCTGCATGGCTTGGAATGCCTCAGGAAACATACAATCATGGCAGAAGACAAAGTGGAAGCAAGGCAGTCTTACAAGAGGGAGCAGAAGGAGGAGGTTAAACTATTTTCTCTCTCTTGGGTGTAAAGATATAATCTTAAGGCAAAGAGCAGAATCTATTTTCTTAAGCCTTAAAATAGACTCCATCTCTCTCCCTTTCACCATAAATATTCTCTTCACATTTATCTAACGGTATGCTTGTATCAAATATGTGCCTTTTTGGAAGTTCCAGAAGTTAATTTTGAGACAGACAGACTAAGTCTGGAGACGCAGCTGCAAAATTCCAGGTGACTTCAAAGTCGCTGGTTAGTAACCCAGGCCTTGCAGAGATGATGCCAGCCTAGGATCCAGGTGGACTGGGATGCCAGAGAGCAAACAGAGTAAGACACACAGACCTTGTACTCAGCCCAATTTCTGAATGCCTTTATAATCAACTTTTCCTTTTTTAAACCCCTGCCTTTTCTTCAAAATTAAAGTGGTTGCTTTGGATGGGAATCCGGTCACTTCCCCCTCACCTGTTATGGTTAATACACTCATCTTTGTACCAGATCTTGCCCTTCTTAATTGGATTCTGTAAGTGACGGGCATCCGGAGCTGAGTGAGGTTAGAAACTGAATGACATATTGGGGGTTCATAGACCCCGCGTTCTGTGAAGTTGATGGGTGGATTCCTGAGGAAGCCTGCAAGCCTGTTAGTGATGAGCAGAACTGCATCCAGCTATCAGGATCTGCACTCCGGCTGCTGTGAGCCTCTCACCATCTTCCCTGGTCCCAGCTGCCCCGGATGGTTCCACCTTGACAACGTGCTCCGTGTTCCGGGTGGTGGGAGAGCAAGGGGGCTCCTTCGGCAGCTCCTACAGGGCTGCGAATCCAGGGCCCACTCGGTGTTCCCTGTGGAGTCTCTGAGGGAACGAGGGGCCTCTCAGGGCTCAGAGCTGTGCGCCTTTGTGGAGTGGGGGCCGAATACGGGGACACTGGGGGCGTGGTGAGAAGCGGAGCGAGGTCAGCTCCCGGGACCGTCCGCCCTGAGCCTCAGGTGAGCCAGGGGCGCCTGTGAGCCTTGGCCTCAAAGCAGCGGGAACCTCTCTGCCCACCTCGGGGACCTGATGGCGGCGCCGCCCCTCCCAGCTGGACACCGCGGCCTCCGAGTCTCCAGGCCAAAGCCTGCACAACTTAAAGGAAGTCACCGCTGATCTACACGGGCACAGACCTTTGGATGGGCCGGCGCGGCGGGACAGGAAGCACCGGGGCAGCCGCCACAGTGACGCGCGGTGTCGGGCAGGATGTGGGTGGTCCGGGGAGGCGCGGGGGCTGATGGGATGCCGGCGGTCCTGGGACGTGCGAGGGCCGGAGGGACACTGGCTGTCAGGGGAGGCGCAGGGGCTGATGGGGCCTTGGCGGTCCGGGGCGCGGGGGCCTAAGGGACGTGGGCGGTCTTGGGACGCGCAGAGGCTGGCGGGACACTGGCGGTCCGTGGAGGCGCAGGGGCTGATGGGACGCACACTATCGGGGAGGCGCGGGGACAGATGGGACCTGGGCGGCCCGGGGCGCGGGGGCCGCCGGGAAGGGGGATCCGGGTCGCTGCTCCGTCCTCCCTCAGGCCGTGCAGCCCTGAAGCTCCGGATCCTGGGGTGAGTCCTGTCCCAACTGGAAGAGACCCACCCAGTCCTGACAAGGGACAAAGGCCGTAGGGCCAGAAAGGCGAGCGGAATCCTGGAGGACGACGGGAGAACGGGTAGCGACCACCGGGCGGTGATCCTTCTTCTGCCAGACCTTGACGTGGGTGAGGAGAAACGGAGAAGAACCGTCCACGTTTGTCCCACTGGCCGGCCCTCCACCCTCTACCGGCCGTTTCTAGAAGGGCTGTGTATGACACATGAAAAAGCCGCTCTCGGCCTTCCTCATCTTTTTTGTTTTTTTAATTGTACGTTAGGGTCAGGGGTACATGTGCAGATCATGCAGGATTGCTGCATAGGTGCACACATGGCAAGGCGGTTTGCTGCCGTCGTCCCCCCGTCACCTACATCCGGTGCTTCTCCTCTCATCATCCCTCCCCACCCTCCCCAGCCCCCCGTTCCTCCCCTGGCCCCCCACACAGCCCCCCACTGACCGCAGTGCGTGATGCTCCCCTCCCTGTGCCCACGTGTTCTAGGACACGAACTCATCGCTTCCCCATCTTTTAAAAGAAAACATTTGCTGCATCTGTCCCGTCTGGATGTAAGGAGGTTCCAAGGTATGCTAGAGTCAGAAAATTACACGTCTTCTAAGTTACCATCTGCTTTTTAAAAAATCAGAGAAAATGGGTGTCTTGTGGAAATGACATTTTGAAATGGAGTTATTAGACCAGCCCTGAAAGGAGCACAGGAGCCACACGGTGACCTTTGTCCAGTGGGTTAGAGGACATGGAGGGGACACGTGGGCACGAAGGGAAAAGGGTTCCATGCCAGGCTGCTCATATTCAGAAGACATTTTCATATAATTGCCATTGTTTTGTTGATTCCATTTTATTCCTCACTAGTGTACATCGTTGGCAATACTAAGTATTATTTTGAAATATCTAGTCTTTCTAGATGTTCTAAGTGCCTGATAAATGTTAAAATTACAGGTAGTAAAATACTATACTTTGTAAATATCTTTTTGAAATTTTTTGTGGTGGTAATGTCCAAATCCGTGATTGAGTCTCACCCACAGTGTTTGTGCTCTGGTTCAGGGGAGAAGAGGAGAAAGTTCAGAGTTCTAGGCCTGTGTGCTCACAGGGAGGTGAGATTAAAGATCACCTCTTTTGTCTGTGCATATGTTTTGCTTATCTATGGATATCGTGTATATAGAGGATGAACAAGTCCTGCTTACAACATCTAATCTTTCCAGATGTTAAACAGATTACCAGTGTATGACGAAAGTAGTTATTAAACTAATGTAGTTTGTACACATTGTGTTAACATTCACACAAAGCCTGTCTTCTCAAAGGGACCTGTGGGCCCTCCTGCCGCGCCCTCTGGTGCCAGCTGCAGGAGAACCTGGCCAGGGGAATGTGGGCAACAGGAGCTGCTGCTGCCTGCGGGATTGGACATGTAGCACCAAGCCCCTTGTTAAGGCCTTTACTTATCTCCATTAATCCTTGAGAATTATATGCCATAACAGACAGTATTAGTACAGTATTCTTATTTTACAGTAGAAAAACTAGAGCCTCAGAAAGGTTCAGTAACTTGGCCAAAGGCACAAAGACATAAATGTAGGAACTGGGGTGATGGTTGTCAATTTCCACATTAATATCTGCTAGTCTGAGCTATTTAACACATTCATCAGACTCAAGGTTTCACTGAAAGGTGTAAAGGTAAAAAGTGACTGTGAAAATTAATTCTGAAGAATCTTTAATAAGAGAAAATACAAGCACTCCATTGGTTAACTTAAAATTACTTTCTAAGAAAGTTTCCTGGGAGAAAGAATCTCTTAAATTATCTTTCACTGCATAAATTTGAGGAAAGTTCACGTTTGAAAGTCTAATGTAAAATTTTAACCACCACAGGTTCAATTTTAAATAATTTCCACACCTATTTATAACAGTCACTGTGGTACAAAGCAGAAGGAAAAACTTAATGTCAAAGCAGTTATTTCTAGGATTTCAGTGGCAAGTTTCTGGATGAATCCAATATGCTCGAGCCAATAGTGCTCCAAGCAAAACAAATTAATTTCATTAGGTCTTTCCAGGCCTCAAGACAAGTGAAAATTCTATGTGATTCTTGTCTCATGCAATATCATGCTTCATGGACCAAGACCACAAAAGGCAAAGGATATTTGGATTAGCTATTTTATCAGAGCTTCGGGCATAAAATTTAGGTCTGCATGATTACAAAGTACACAACCCAGAGAAGGTGCTGATCTAGGCATGGAAGCTATATATTTCCCGTAAGTGAATGTAAGTTGTCTCAACTTTCTGAATGAATGAACTTTCAAGGCAATCATTATTGCTAGCTCTTAAAATACTACTGACACAGTCCTAACTCTGACAGTAAAAGATACAACCAACACTCTGGTAATTCCCACCAGGTCTGCCCAGTCAAAGAACCATGCTCTTGTTTCCAAATGCCTGTTAGGAGATATCAGTTATTTTATTACAGAATATTTAAAAGGCAGTAATACTTGCAGCGGTAACAGCAGTAGTTTTAAGTGACTAAAGCCACACTATGACAACTAGGGAAATAATTATGTTTGACAAATCATTTTACGCGTAATTGAATGCATATCAAACTGCAGCATACAGTAATACATTCATCCATTTCACTTAGTGAATGGTGGTAAAATAATCCATGGTAACAAGTATGATTCTTGCCTTCATGGAACTTATGAGGGGAAGAAAAGTTAGTAAAAGAAAATAACATATTAATTAATCAATAATTACAAACTGCAATAGTGATATGATAGAAAGAAGGTGATGTGACAGAAAGCAGATACCTGAATTCTGCTACTCTTGACAATGTGGGCAGAAGCCTCTCTGATGAAGTACCAGCTTAGCTTGCTACAGGCCTAGAGAAGAGCATGTAGAGCAGAGAACTGAAAAGTTTCTAAAGCAGGTAAGAGTTTGTCTTGCTTAGGGAACAGAATAGAAGTCATTGTGTTTTGATTTAATTACCACGCTTTGCATAATGGTTCATTTCTTTTGGCCTATTCATTGCTGGTGATTTTCAAAGGAATCTCACTACTCTTTTGCATTTTGTCTCTATGGCAACATTGGGAAGTTTTACCTCTAGCATTATAACATGATCTAGTGACCTGACACATTTGTGGTAAACAGTACCCACATATTCAGCAGCTCTTTGGTTTTCTCTCCACGAACCACAATTTTTTCTATTCTGTGTATGAGCATATCCTAGCATCCCTGTACATACCCACATAAATGTCTACAAGCCTATGAATTATTCTCTGTAAATAAAAATTTGTCTCAATTTCCCCCAATGTTCATAATTCTCCTGAGGGTGTGAAAGGATCCAGGAGATGAAGGTCTTTCTGGATCTGTTCAAACAAAAGGCCCAGAGACCACCTGGTAGATAAGGAGCTCACCTGGCTCTGGATGTTGAGTCTGTCTCTTCTGCTCTGTTATCTCACAGAAGGTCAGTTCACTTGTTCAGGTCCCAGGAAGAGAGCCCAGGTTTGTCCTAAGTTTATGACACACTCAACTTCTGATGACTCTCCTGTTACCTACATCCATGGAGATACGTTATTTATTAACGGAGCAAGTATCTGTCTATAACAGAAAAAAGAAAGATAAATTAATATATACTGACTTTGACATTTCACCAAACTAATGTCAAATACCCAAGTTGCAATACCACACACCCCAGGGTAGGTTTATACAATTCAATGGAGGAGAAAGTCTTTCAGAAACAGATGAATCTGAATTGATAAATATGTGTGTAAGGACTCTGGGCTTGAGTGTCATTGTCCAGCCATGTTTCACAGGTATGATCTGTCAGGGAAGGACCAGAGTTCCCTGTGCTCTCAGAAGGGAGAGCTCACAGAGGCCATCTCTGGTTCCCAGGAATGGCAGTTGCACAGATCTTGGAGACTATCCTGCAGAGCTGACCTGTTATAAAGTTTGTGTCTGAAGCTGTCACTGCCATCCCCAGTCTACATATTTTCACACAGAAGTGTTTAGAGGTCTGGCCACATCTTCAGAGTCACACATTGAGAAGGATGGCAGTATGTCCCACTACCTTCTCCTGAGATCTCAGACAGAATCTTGAACTCCAAAAGGTTGCAGAGGGCAGCTCTCAGGTGCTTTTTTAAAATGACCCACTCCCTGGGACAGGGAGCTTCCCTCTAATCATGACAAGTGTTCTGAACTAAAATAAACATCAGATGAATCCAGGCTTGTCTGAATTCATTGTGATTGTTACATTCAGCTCCTGTTTCAATGTGTATGAATAGGTAAATGACAATTTAGATGACCTGAATGTGAGGTTTGTCTTATGTGAATTTTTAAGGGTAGAGCAGTATTGACCCTATTCCAAAATCTGTCCGTGATCCATGATCACACTTATCTCCCAGACCGGTTCCTTCAGCACATCTCCCTACCTGGAAGAAGAGGACTCTGGGCTTGGGGAGGGGAGGCCCCAGGAAGACAACTGAGTTCTCAGAGGGCACAGCCAGCATCCTCCTCCCAGGGAGAGCCTGAAAGACTGGGGCCTGCTCATCCCTTTTCACTGCTCCATACAAAGGCACCACCCACATGCAAATCCTCACTTAGGCACCCACAGGAAACCACCACACGTTTCCTTAAATTCAGGGTCCTGCTCACATGGGAAATGCTTTCTGAGAGTCATGGACCTCACATGCAAGAGCATGAAACACCTGTGGTTTTTCCTCCTCCTGGTGGCAGCTCCCAGACGTGAGTGTCTCAGGGGTGCAGATATGAATTTATGGGAGCTGCCTCTGAGCCCAGGGCTCACCGTGTGTCTCTCTGTTCACAGGTGTCCTGTCCCAGGTGCAGCTGCAGCAGTGGGGCCCAGGACTGGTGAAGCCTTCGGAGACCCTGTCCCTCACCTGCGATATCTATGGTTACTCCATCAGTAGTGGTTACTGGTGGAGCTGGATCCGCCAGCCTCCAGGGAAGGGGCTGGAGTGGATTGGGAGAATCTATTATAGTGGGAGCACCTACTACAACCCATCCCTCAAGAGTCGAGTCACCATATCAGCAGACCCGTCCAAGAACCAGTTCTCCCTGAGGCTGAACTCTGTGACCGCGGCGGACACGGCCGTGTATTACTGTGCGAGACACAGTGAGGGGAGGTGAGTGTGAGCCCAGACACAAACCTCCCTGCAGGGAGGCGGCGGGGTGGGCACAGGTGCTGCTCAGGACCAGCAGGGGGTGCGCAGGGCCCACAGAGCCCGAGGCCGGGTCTGGAGCACGTGCAGGGAGAGCAGGGCTTCCTCATCTGCTCAGTGGGCTCCCTCCCCGCCAGCACTGGAGCTGTGTCCAGGGCTCCTTTCTTTATTATCTGTGGTTCTGCTTCCTCACATCCTTGTGCCAGCAAAGAAAGGAGGAAGACATTTTTCTCTTACAGTTGAAGTTTCAACAATTACTAGGAACTTTCTTACATGTTACTGCATGACCCATTACAAACCTTACTGATTTTAAAAAATGCTAATTCTTCCCAGCATCTCTTGATTTGTGTCATCAATCGAATTGTGCCCTCTTTGAAATTCATATGCTGAAACCTTAAATCCAATGGATCTATATTGGAGAACAGAATCGTAAGGATATAATTAAGGTTAAATTTGGTCATAAGTGTGAGAACCTAATGCAATAGACCTGTTGTCTTTGTAAGAAGATGAAATAACACCATAGACCTCTCATTTTTCACGTGCACGCAGAGAAGAGCCATGTTGAGACGTAGTGCACTAGAAGGTGGCCCTGTGCAGCCAGGAAGAAGCCTCACCAAGAACCAACCCTGACAGCACCTTGATCTTCAACATTCAGACTGCAGAATTGTGATAAAAGTCAGTGTCTGTTCTTTAAACCACCCACAACTGTTGTCTTCTTATGAAGACCCACACAGACTAATCCCAAATAACTCTGTTAGCTCTGTCTCCTGGAAGGAGAAGCAGCCCCCTGAGGCTGGGCACAGCTCTCAGATTTCCACATGAAGTCGGCAAAAATAGTAGCTGTCATATAAAATTGTGTCATGGCCCTGTTGGCCATTTTTGATCAAGGTCTCTGAAAAAATCCCTGGTGTCTGTAACACACAAGATGTCTGTTATCTTTTGTTTGGAAGTAACAAATGGACAATGAGTACCAGCTGGATGTAGACTGCCCACTGACCATCTTCTGCTGTCTCATAAGTATGTCACAGAAAACCAC